AGCCAAGCGCCAGAGCCTTTGCAGGGGAATGTTTTAAGCCCCAAGGTCAAACGCCCCCCTCGCCCCCCCCCCCCCCCCACGCCCCCAGGCTTTTTGCAGGGTAGGGACAAAAAGAGAGAGACAGAGAGTGACTAAGCCCTGTCACAGCTCTGGCGGAATTAGCACCTTGCGCACTAATGCACCTTACCGTGCAGGGGAAAGCGAGAGCTTCGCTGCAACCAGGACTATTTTTGGGCAGGAACGCACAGGAACGGAGTTCCGGCTGGCTTCAGAGTTGGCCACACCCACTACAGCCAAAACCTCTGCGTGCCTGGCTACGGAGGGAAGGCCTGGAGAGTGACTCCTCCCCGGTAACTCCGACTCCTTCCCTGGCCTGTCCAAGGGCCGGCTTGCCTGGGCTCCCCGCAGCCACAGGGTGCCCAGGCAAGCCAAGGGAAGGCATGGGGGTGTGGCTTAATATGCTAATGAACTGCACTGTTGGGGGTTCCTAATATAGTAATGAGCTTCTGATGTTGGGTGTGGCCTATTATGCTAATGAGTTCCTGCTGGGCTTTTTCTACAAAAAGAGCCCTGAGTGCAACCAACCCTACTGGTGGTCCAGCGGCCTTAAATGTCACGCCAATAGCAGGTGAGAGGCCCTCCAACGTGGCTCTCGTGGCCCGTGCCTTATAAACTGCCTCCCTATATTTATATCCTGCCGTAATCAGCCAAACTGGGACCTCGCCCTAAAATTACACTCTGCTGAAACCAGCAAAGCTCCAGAGCATTTGCAGGGGAATGTTTTAAGCACCAAGGTCAAACGCCCTCCTCTCGCCTCCCCCCCCCCCACGCCCCCAGGCTTTTTGCAGGGTAGGGACAAAAAGAGAGAGACAGAGAGTGACTAAGCCCTGGCACAGCTCTGACGGAATTAGCTCCTTGCGCACTAATGCACCTTACCATGCAGGGGAAAGCAAGAGCTTTGTCCCATGCTGGGGAGAGATCTTGCCGTATCCACCCCAAGCCAAGGCAAGGCTGAAGTCACAGCCCCTTTCCTGATAAGCACCGTGACCAGTGTTCCCTCTAAGCTGAGTTACTGTGAGCCAGCTCGTGGTTTTTTAGCCTCCGGCTCACACATTCTCTGTCTGAGCTCAGGAAGGAGGGCTCCAGAGCAAACTCATGTATGCAGTAGCTAAATCACTCGCTCACACCTTTAATGCCAGGAGCTCACAAAGTAGGATTGTTGCTCACAAGACTCCACAGCTTAGAGGGAGCGTTGACCATGACTCAGTGCTGTTTGCCGGTCCAGAAGTCACACACTGGTTTACAGCTAGGACCCGGAATAGCCCTTTCTTGCCCCGGCCTCTTCGGAATCCTTGCATTCATCATTCTGCTCACAGCCAGGCAGTGATGAGGAGACAGCGACACAGCTCATAAACAACCTGGGTCATCTGCACCAAACACGGCCGGGAATCGGGGTCAGTGCTTCCCGAATGCCTCGGGCCTGGCCTTCCCAGAAAAACAACTCGAAAGAGACTCCAGAGGGGCAACTTCCTTCCTCCGCTCTGATTACCAAACCCAACAAGTCAAGGCATCCCCTGCCCTGCAACTCCACCCTGCAGCACAAGGAAAACTGCATTGAGGCAGACCATGAAAGGGAGGGCAGGGGATGGATAAACTAGTGCTTGTCTCTCGCGGCCCTTTCTTATATGGCCAGAGTAATGCTGATTGCCAGGGGTGGGGGACAGGTGTTCCCTCTAAGCTGAGTTAGCGTGAGCTAGCTCACATCTTTTTAGCCTCCGGCTCACACATTTTAGTCTTAGCTCAGGAAGGAGGGCTCCAGAGCCAACTAATTTATGCCGTAGCCAAAGTGCTCGCTCACAACTTTGATGCCAGTAGCTCACAAAGTAGAATTTTTGCTCACAAGACTCAACAGCTTAGAGGGAACACTGGTGGGGGTCAGGAAGGAATTTTCCTCCAGGCCTGATGGGCCCAGGGATCATGGAGGTTTTTTGCCTTCCTCTGGGGGAGTGGGGGGGGGAGGTAGCTGTGAATTTCCTGCTTTGTGTAGGGGGTTGGAGTGTATGACCCTTGTGGTCCGTTCCCGCTCCATCTTTCTGTGTTTCTTTCCTCTTTTCAAAATGGCTGCAGGTTGGAGGGGGGCAGATTTCCATCCTAGGGATCCAGGGATCCAGGCTGTGGGAGCAGCTTGCAGCTTCTAACGGGGTGCCAACCAAGGCTCCCTCTAAGCTGTGGAGTCTTGCGAGCAGAAATCCTCCTTTGGGAGCGACTGGCATTAAAGTTGTGAGCAAGCAATTTGGCTGCCGCGTACATTAGTTTGCTCTGGAGCCGTCCTTCCGGAGCTAAGACAAAAAACGTGTGAGCCGGAGGCTATAAAGCTGTGAGCTAGCTCACACTCACTCAGCTTAGAGGGAACACTGGTGCCTTCCGCCTAGCACGCGTTCTGCTAAATGTGACTTGGGGGGTAACAGAGAGAAGCTTTCTCTTGCTGGTCTGCGGTGCCTCTCGGCAGCCCTGTTTCCCAGGCCGACTGGCTTTGAAGGCATTTTGCGCTGCGTTACCACCACCACCACCCCGCCCCCCATGCGTTTGAGATTCTCGAGAGCATTTCTCATTTCCATCCCATCAAGCACATAAACAAGGGACTCATTACCCTGCCCTGCATGTGCCTAACGTCTTCTCTGAAGCTGTTAAGCTTGGCTGTCCGTAAGATTGTCAGCAAGGGTCTTTTTCCTCCGAACTCGGTGCTTTGGTGACAACCCCCCATTTAATCAACGAGAAATCTAGGCCAAACAAAAGGGAGGAAAGTCATTTCAAGCAATTTCCTCCAAGCAGGGTAAGGGAACAGACAGCTAGGAAGAAAAGCCAGACAACAACCAAAGCTTCACAACCTCTGCTGTTGCAGGTAAAACATGGGCAGCCCTTGGCCCCTAGCACAGCTCCCTTCAGCCACGTTTCCCCCCATTTCCCTCTGAGTAAGAGGGGACTGCAGCCAGTGTTTCCTCTAAGCTGTGGAATCTTGTGAGCAAAAATGCTACTTTGTGAGCCACTGGCCTTAAAGTTGTGAGCGAGCAATTTGGCTACTGCATAAATGAGTTTGCTCTGGAGCCCTCCTTCCTGAGCGAAGGCAAAAATGTGAGAGCCGGAGGCTAAAAAACGGTGAGCTAGCTCACACTCACTCAGCTTAGAGGGAACACTGACCGCAGCACACCCCCAGTGCCTTCAGTTCAGTCGCTAACCACAACATTGCCCTCTCGGCCTAGGCAGAGTCCAACGTACACAAGGCCTCCGTCGATGCCAGCAGAACCACCCAGCAGCTGGAAGAGACCATTGATGAGTTTCAGAAGCAGAAACTGAAAGACATACAGGTAATCCGGACTGCCAGGGGGTGGCATCACGCCAAACTGTGGTTTGTTGAACAAACTCTAGCGAGTCTACCACACATAAAACAACATATCGCAGTTTGTGAACAACAGACCATCACAACTAGTGCAAGCTACAAACCCTTGGCTGAAGTCCCAGATTGGCGGCAATCACCCGCATTCAGACGTCACACCTAACCAAGTTTTGACCAAACCACAGTTTATCACGATGTCTCTCTGTGGTCAGACAGTGAGGACTTTCGGAGCTGCAAGTCCTATGCACGGTCATGGGGCAGGGAGTTCCCTCAATTTTGCTGGGACTTACTCCCAAATAAACATGCAGGGAATTTTGATGCAATCCCTTAATCACGGCATTCCAGAAATCTAATTAGGGAGACAAAATAAAGGGGTAAAGTCCAAGGCTCCCGCTAAACTGTGGAGTCTTGTGAGCCAAAATTCTACTTTATGAGCTACTGGCATTAAAGTTGTAAGCAAGCAATTTGGCTACTGCATAAATTTGTTTGCTGTCTGGACCCCTCCTTCCTGTGCTAAGACAAAAACGTGTGAGCTAAAGGCTAAAAAACTGTGAGCTAGCTCACACTAACTCAGCTTAGAGGGAACACTGCTAATGTCGTGTTTCACTTGTCCCCTCTCCCTGCAGAGGATCTTTTTGGATTTCGTCACCATCGAGATGGTCTTCCACGCGAAAGCTCTCGAGGTTTATTCCAACGCATTCCAAAATCTTGAAAGCTATGATCTTGAGAAAGACCTGGAGGTAAGGGTAGCATCCGAAAAGCAGAGTTGATTCACTGCCTTTATCTGTCCTTTTGGAATATGGCCCCAAACTGGTAAAGCTGAAGTTTTCTCTTTTTTCTTCCTTGCAGTGGGACAAACTGCTCTGGGTTAGGACTGGCAGGTACCCCTGGCCACCAGCAGGGGATTAGAGGGGGTCGGGTTGCCACATCCAGGTTGGGGAGTTCCTGGGGATGGAGCCTGGGGAGGACAGGGACCCCAGTGGGGTACAAGGCCACAGAGCCCACCCTCCAAAGCATCCATTTTTCTGCAGGGGAACTGATCTCTGTAGTCTGGAGATGAGCTGTATTTCTGGGGGATCGCCAGGTCCCACCTGGAGGCTGGCGTCCCTACTCTGGGTGCTTGGAAATGTAGGCAAGCAGCTGGTAAATGCTGCTAAATACAATCATGAGCCATGGGCTCATTCCCAGCTTAATAACGGTTCAGGATTTGATGTGGTGTAAGCGGGGGGGGGGGATCTTCTCTCCTTCTCAGCCTGGGGGCGGGATATCTCTCATCACAAACCCATTCTTGCCATTTTCACTGTCTTATATCTGCTGCTTTTATTTTTAGCATTGTCAGCTCTGGGTTGGGAAATACCTGGAGATTTAGGGGGTGGAGCCTAAGGAGGTCAGGGTTCGGGGAGGGGAGGGACTTCAATGGGGTACAGTCACCCTTGTGCCCTCTAAGCCAAGTGAGTGTGAGCCGGCTCAGACATTTTTGTCTCCGCTCCGGAAGGGTGGCTCCAGAGCAAACTAATTTATGCAGCAGCCAAGAAGAGAAGAAGAAGAGATTCGATTTATACCCCGCCCTTCACTACCCGAAGGAGTCTCAGAGCGGCTTACAAACTCCTTTCCCTCCCCCTCCCCACAACAGACACCCTGTGAGGTCGGTGGGGCTGAGAGAGCTCTTGACAGAAACTGCCCTTTTCCAGAACAGCTCTTGTCAGAACTATGGCTTGCCCAAAATCATCCAGCCAGGTGCAAGTGGAGGAGTGGGGAATCAAACCCGGTTCTCCCAGATTAGAGTCCGCACACTTAACCACGACACCAAATCACCTGCTCACAACCTTAATGCCCGTAGCTCACAAAGTATGATTTTTGCTGACGAGACTCCACAGCTTAGGGAGAGCATGGACAGAGTCCACCTTCCAAAATGGCCATTTCCTCCAAATTAACCTATTTCTGTTGCATGGAAATCAGTTGCAATCGTCATCATGGAAGAAGCAGAGCGATGTCGAGCCTCAGTAACAATCCTTACCTGGGGAAGTACAAAAACACAAGGTTCCCTCTCGGCTTGCTCTCAAGATGCCCCAGGGCTGGGGCGTCATCAGGGACTTTCAGGCCTCCTTTGAAGGGTCCAAAATGCCGAAGCCTCATTTCCCTCCATGGGGGCAGCTGCCTTTCACCTCCCACTCATTAAGCCTTCCTGCCGCTTGCACCTGTGAACAGGCTGGGCTGAGTTCCACCACAGCTGCAGCTGGTATGATCCACCGAAGGCCTGCCAGGAGTCTCTCAAGCAGGATCTGGTTTGCAGGCTAAATATCCTGGGTTTATGAATTCAGAGACTGTGCACAATCCTGGTTGAATTAGACAAACTATGGTCAGAGTCAATGTTCCCTCTAAGCTGTGGAGTCTTGTGAGCAAACATTCTACTTTGTGAGCCGTTGGCATGAAAGTGGTGAGCGAGCGATTTGGCTGCTGCCTAAATTAGTGTGCTCTGGAGCCATCCCAGCTGTAGGCTAAAAAACTGTGAGCTCACACTAACTCAGCTTAGAGGGAACACTGATCAGAGTGGCTGTCTGAATGGCAGATTCAGGTGGCTATCCACGTTGGTCTGAAGCAACAGGACAGAGTTTTGAGTCCAGCCGCACCTTTAAGACCCACAAAGTTTAGTGGCAGCCAATGCTCCCTCTAAGCTGTGGAGTCTCGTGAGCAAATATTCTACTGTGTGAGCTACGGGCATTAAAGTTGTGAGCGAGCGATCTGGTTGCTGCATCAATTTGTTTGCTCTGGAGCCCTCCTTCCTGAGCGAAGACAAAAAAATATGTGAGCCGGAGGCTAAAAAACTGTGAGCCGGCTCACACTTACTCGGCTTAGAGGGAACACTGACCACCACCCTGCGGTGTGAGACCGAGCGTGTGTGCGACTGGCCCAAGGCATTTCCAAAACAGAACGGAGGTCTGACCCCGGCTCTCCCAGCAACGCTCTCTCTCAGCTGAGGAGTCTTGTGAGCAAAAATTCTACTGTGTGAGCTATGGGCATTAAAGTTGTGAGCGAGCGATTTGGCTGCTGCATACGTTAGTCTGCTCTGGAGCCCTCCTTCCTGAGCTAAG